GAAGAGTAAAAGCAAAGCAACCTACAAGTGCTACATTTACAGGAATTGCTGTAACACCTCCAATTGCTTATTTGTACTGTGCTTTCATTTCAGAGTGCAATGAGATATTAAACTGCACAATTTTCAATAAGAAAAATTGGGGTGTTCTAAATCCTTTGACCCGTAGTGTATATAAAGCAAATGAACCAATGAAATATACAGTTATTGAGACCCCTGAGAATGTGTTACACCATAAAAACATAGCCATCAATACGTCTTTGAGAAATTAAGAAACATTAAGAACTTACATTGTGTTTTTATCTGCTCGAGCAGAGCTGAGCCGATCATTAAATCCCATACACAATTTCGCCATCCTGAATTTCTGTATTTTTACGTTTACATGAACTTATAAATTAATCTGTACTGGAGCTGTGATTGATTCCCAGAATGTTTGAGCCAAATTTCATGAAAATCTATCCAGTGTTTGTTGACTTTCAGTGTGAGCAGAAGTGTTGGACACAGGTAAGTCTGGCCTTGCTTTTACAATAAACTAAATAATAGGACAATCATCATTGCTTTTGTTTATAAGTTCTTGTATCAGTTCATTTATTTCTTTGTCGTGTTTTTCCTCGAGGTCCTCCTTTTCCTCTGGATCGTCCACATGCTTCATTTCCTGTTCATGCTTTTTCAGTAGCTTGCGGACTCTTTTTGTGTTTGCCTTCTTTTTGGTGAAACATCTCACTAAGTTATTCATCTCTTCTTTGTGTTTTTTCATTTGTTCTTCTTTCTCAGCTTTTAGTGCTTTTAAGATGTCATATTGCTCATCTTCGGCTGTCCAGTCCTTACCCTCTAACTCTTTCATGCATTTCTCCCTGAATTCGTTGTATTCCTCTGCTTGTTTTCTGGCTTTTTCTTCAAATGTTTCCTTCATTTCCATCAGTTTTTTCTCATAGTTTTCCTCCAGTTCCCTTTTCTCTTTTTCCCCCTTTTCTGTTAACATCAAATCCTTTTCTTTTACTTCTTTCTCAAGAACTTCTTTTTCCTGCTCATATTCTTTCAATTTGCTCATCATTTTCTGCTCCTCCTGTTGCCTCACTTCATTTTCCTGCTCTCTTTTCTGCCACCACTCTTTTTGTTCATTCTCCCATGCCTCCTGTTTCTCTTTCATTTCTGCTTTGCTCTGCTCCAGTTGTCTGTCAATGATTTGTTTTGATTCCAGTTCTTCTTTCATTTTTACTTCTAAATCTAAAAACCTTTGTTCCCAATCCCTACGCTGTGATTCTTCCTCTTCTTTCTTCTCTCTGTCTTCTTCATCTCTTGATTCTTGTTCTCTCTTTCTTGTGGTAAGCTGTTTCTTCACTTTTTTAAGCTCTTTGTCTCTTTGTTTTCTTTCTTGTTCAATTTCTGTTTTCTGTTCTTCCATTTTTTTCTTCATTTCTTGCATTTCCTCCTCATGTTGTCTTTTAAGGTCTTCCATCTCTCTGTTTATTTCTTCCTCCTTCTCTTTCAGAATCGTCTCTGTTTTTTTCTGGATCGCAGCTTCAGCTTCTTGCAGCATCTTATTGGTGAAGCAACTTCCACCATTTCTTTTGACCATGTCATCGATCTTTGTTATCAGCTCAGTGACTTGTTTCCGGTTTTGTTCATCTAAGTTATTAAACACCTGGTATCTCTGCCCACAATCATCAATCAGCTTCTTAAAGGAATCATCAGATTTTGCAATGTAATCATGAATGGACTTCCCCTCATGTTCCAGTGAATCTCCTCTTGTGAAAAGAATGATGGTGAATTTTTCTGAATTCTTCCCAAAGCCTTCCTTGATAAGTTTTAATGCTTCCTTCTCTTCTGGTGTGATTCTCTCAGTCTTTAACACCAGCAGGAAGACGTGTGGTCCTGGAGCCAGAAGACTGACACATTTCAGCATCTCCTCATTGATCTCTTCATGTGACAAACTGTTATCAAACAGTCCAGGAGTGTCGACCACAACAACAGGACGACCGTCCACTTCACCGTATTCTTTCTGACAATGTTTGGTGACAGATTTGGGGTTATTCTCAGCTTTGAACGCTCTTCGTCCTAGAATGGTGTTTCCAGAAGAGCTCTTTCCACTGCCAGTCTTACCTAGCAAGACAATTCTGAGAGGCTCTGAGCTCTGCTTCTCTTCATTACCTGTGAAATAACAACACATTAGTTAAATTGCAGGACAGTCCAATAGATAATGTGTTGCTGAAAGCACAATATATTTTAGATGTCATTACTTTTTGTCTTTGTGTCTGAAGTTGAATCTAATAATCAGTGCAAGGGATTAATGGGAGCTCCACGCTGCTTTTATCTCATTTTTTATTCAATTCCAGCAGCAGCACCAGAAAAATAAAGAAGGAACACAGGAAAATACAAAGAAGGAGGAATCCACAAGCAGTTTACACAATCCGCACTTAAGGTTGCTCTTAATGTAATTATTAAAAGAACAAACAACAAGAAATCAAACATTAAACAACATTATTGAGTAACGGCTAGAAAGATGTAGGAGGATCTCAGGGGACACGAGGACTGTAAAAGAAAACAAAAGCTGTTATTTTACGACCTAAATCTGCTACAGATAAACATTGTGTCTGTCCATGTCAAAGAAAATCTTATGATCTTATAATTGAATTCTGTTACATTTAGTCCCTATTTTTCAATTACACTTTCAAATTCATCTAATTCAAAATCTTGCTTTCACTGTTTTTGCATTTTTGTCTCCCAGTCAGTTAGCACCTAGTACACTATCTTTATATTCATTTCAAGCTTTTACTGAATTTTTAAGGCCATGCATCTTTCCACCTTTTAATCTCCACTTCAAACAGGTTGCCACATCCAAAGACTTTATTTTCATGGTCCAGCACGCTGTTTGCTGTTTTGGGTTCTCCTTTCTGTCTAAGCTGAGCTAAGCAGGTTAAAATCTGCCAGGAGGCGGCCACGTCTGTTCCTGATTCATCTTCATCTTCTGCCAGTACTTAACAACCAACTCCAATGATCACTCTATGCCAATCTGGCTCTCTAGACTGGTAATCTGGCGTCTCCTTGTTTTCCCCCAGGACTCTCTGTCTGACCAAAGAGCGGCTTCATTTCCAGTGCTACTTATTAATCCCACTTGAGTTATTAAGTTAGAGATGGGCAGATGGAGCCTTGTGAAGGTTTTGAGGCTATTTCCTGATTGTTGGTCTGAAAAAGTTCAGAGCCTTAAAGTCAGACCTTACCAGTGGAATCAAATAGTCATCTGCAGCTATAGAAGCAACAAACTTCCAAATGAGTCACACAACTGGTTGATTTCAGTTCCAACACAAAATGAAAAATTCAGTCTTAAGCAGTTGTGTCTTCATTCTAAGAATAATTCCCCACACATGAAAGTGTTCATGTTTACCCTATGACACAACTCACCAGGGGAAAACAGACCAGTGGCTTCCTTTCAAGTACCTCTTCTGAACCAGCTCTCTGGATCAATTCAGTGGATCTCTTTTCTGTGGACTCCTCAAAGCTAGCCCGCCTGTCCTCTCTCTCAGTGACCATGGCCCCAGGATTTCACATGGCTAAGTTCACCTCCAGTTACTGAGTGGCTTCATTTAATAAACCTTGTGAACTTTAAATGTGTCTGTTTTGAGTCCTACTGAAGAGTCCAGTTAGGTTTATTGACATTTTGGAAACAACATCATCAGCAATCTGATAATTTCCCACCGGTATCTTTCTTCTAGCTCTCTTTTCTTGTTTTGTCCCCTTCTCTGTCTTCCCTTTTGTTTCTCTGTATTCAAATCATAAATGGGTTAATTAATAGACACTGTTAGATTTGGGTACTTACACTGCTTCAGAGACACTGCCTTCGTTTATTTTGCTACTGATGGAGCTGTAGTGCAGGTTGCAGAGACATGCCCCAGATAATGCCCCTTCTTATGCTGCCCTCTGAGATCAGTTGCTGTTGGGACTACAGGAGAGCCCCATAGCTCTGGCCTTGAAGGTATGCAAGAATCCAAGAAGATTTTGCTGCCATATGCCAGGAGAAGCTGCTGCTGGATTCAGAGCATGGACATGCCCAATCTGAGGTAAATTGACATGTGTGTAATAATGTATGTGGGCCCATTAAATCTGAGCAGGAAGCAACCTGGAGAGAGGTGCTAAACTGGAGATATTAGAGGATGTTTAGTCACAGATGAAAGGATTTGGGTGGCCAGAGCCCTGAGAGTGTTAAAGAATGGTAGAGTCCCAGTGCGAGCCTATAACCTACACTCCTATAATCCATAGGTCTACCAGAAGCTGGGTAAGATATACTGCGTGAATGAGTCAAATGTGCATGGCCCTGGTGACCTGAGTTTTTCCCTTGAAGCAGGCAGAGTCATGGACAATGTCGCCACCTCACAAAACATGGAATCGTCAGCAGAGATGTGCAAAATGACTAAAAGACTTGATCTGTCTGAGTCCCAGCAGGGGAGCTGGTGTTAGGGAGAGGTGTTAACCCCTGCCTCCTACCAGGTCTGTGTGTAAGGCAGTTATGTGAGATAGTTGTGGTCTATGGGCCACATTTTGTCTTGGGGAGAAAAAAGGATGGAAGGAAGGAGGATGGAGGAAACTAAATCCTGTGCCGCACAAGGATGCTTTCCCTTTACCCCAAATAAGAGAGACACTGACCAAACTAACCCGAGCTGAGTGGTTTTCCACTTTTGACCTAGCCAGTGGCCACTGGTAGATCGAGATGAACCCAAGCGAGAGGGAGAAGACTGCATTTACTGCCCCCATTGGGTTATTTGAGTTTGAAAGAATGTCATGTGGTCTCTGTAATGCTCCACCTACACTAGTCAAAAGTTTGTACACCCACTGCTTTAATGTTTATCTTTATTTTTACTACTTTGGACTAGACTTGTAGTCAAGACCGCCTAATCCGAGACCAAGACAAGACCAAGACCAAGACCAAGTTGAGACGAGACCAAGACCGAGACCGAGTCGAGACGAGACCAAGACCAAGACCAAGACCGAGACAAAAAAAGTCTTTAAACTGCAGCCAGATGCTATTCTATATACATATTCAGGACACCTTAAACTAGTTTTTTAATTAAGCAGCAAGGCAGAACAAAGTCGGGCCTGTATCAAGACACAGGGACTAAACCCCAATTCAACCAGACCCAAAACTGATCTGGAATTAAAACAGGACTACAACAGTAACCAAGACAGAACCAGAATCAGAACTAGATGATAGTAGCACTAAAAATCATCATAGACCTGCACTACACTTATTTTTTAATTCTACCAAAGTACAATATTTAGATTGAGAAAAGTTTATATAATTATTTAGCCTTGTTGTGCAAACAAGCCTGCATAACTTAATAAATATAGAATTTGAAAAGTAACAAATGGTATCTAAAAAGAAACACTAGGTACTAGATACATGTTCTGATGAGTTTTGGCAAACAACCATTTGACTAACATGTGTGTCTCACCTGCTCTTGTTCATCTCTGTTCTGTCGTCATTCTCTCTCTCCCTCTCTGCTCCTCTCTCTCCCTCTTTGTGCTGACAATCAAGCCAAACACCAACATCATCAAATATACAGTTGAAACCAGATATTTATGTACTCTTCAGATAAAAACACAAACACTTTTTTAATTGTAACATCAAATCACATGGACTCTACTAACCTATCAGAAGCTTCTTTAGCTCAGAATGGAATCGTCTGGAGTTTTCTTATTAATTAACAATAAACTTAGTGTATATGTACTCCTAAATTTGATGAAAGTGATTAAAATAGACAGCTCCCTCTTTTTATTCTGACATTTAACTAATTCAAAAGATATTTCAACATTTATTTATCTAAAACAAAAGTTTACTCTAAATTGATGTTTAACAGTAAAAAAAAGTTTTTATGTTTTCTCCATAAAGTGTATGTAAATATCTGGTTTCAACTGTGAATATACTGCTGTGTATTGAAATTCCTCTTGTTTTGCATAGATATACTGAACAACATCCAAAGCATAATATATAAAATAACATCTACCTGAGTTTTTTCTTTGAAAGAAGCTCCTTATGTCCATTGTTGTGTTCATCAGTACACAACTGAAACCGATTTAGAGAGTTTGTTTAGCCGTGGAGGGTAACAACTGAAAATATGAAATGTAAGCTAAGACTAAAAAATCAGCATTGCTGTTCGGTTTATTTATCCATTTGTTGATTCACCCGAAGAGCAAGTAACGCAACCAAGTGATCAGTTTGATATCAATCTTTTGTGATTCACCGTCATATTTACATTATTAGTTCAGTACGAATGATTTGTTTTGGTACCTGGTAAAACTTAAGCTCTCCTCTGTCTGCAGCAAACTCGCAGGCAGCAGCTTCTCCCCCCTCGCTCACACCGGTGCTGTGCTCAGTCGCCTAGTGCCTGAGCTCGGATCATACCAAAATTAGGGGGAATTTACGAAGGTGCGCTCTGTGCTTTGTGTGTTGTTTTTGTTTTATACAGTTGTCAGTCAGGCATCTAACTAACAAATTACACTCCAAAAGACCCCGGGCTTCTGAAAAAATGACCCGGGCTTAAGCCCAGTAAGCCACCCCCCCGCTCCTCTGATGGTTGACTCCAAATCTCCCGAACACTATGTCGATTTGAGAACGCAAGACCGAGACAGCGAGACCAAGACCGAGACCAAGACAAAAGTCCGTCGAGACCAAGACAAAAGTCTGTCGAGACCAAGACGAGACCAAGACCACGTAAAAGTGGTCTCGAGACATCCAACTCTATTAGATTTATGAAAGTGGCCCAAGTGCACCGTGGGATACACCAAACAAATGTTTGAAATGTTGATCCAAAATGCAGTTTTAAATGATGATTTCATTGATTAAGGGAGTTATCCAAACCCGCCTGGTCCTGTGTCGAAAAGTAATTCCTTCTCTTGTTAAATCATGAATTAACTGTGATTACCCCCATTTTTGGAAAGCTGAGTTGATTTTCACTAAACACACTCAGGCTTGATTACTGGCAGACCTGCTGAATCACAGAATCACTTAAATAGAACCTGTGTGACAAAGTGAAGCAGGCTAGGAGATCTCAACAAGCAACACAGAGAGAAAAACAAAGTCACTGACATCTGTCAGTCTGGAAAGAGTTACAGAGACAAGGCTGTGGGACTGCAGTGAACCACAGTGAGAGTCATGGCTTCACATGTCTCAGTTAAGGTCAGAGTTTGATTCAACACTAAGAAAAACGCTGGGCAAAAATGGCCTCCATGGCAAAGTTCAAGGCGAAAACCACTGCTGACCAAAAAGAACCCAAAGGCTAACCTCAAACATCTTGATGTTCCCGAAGACTTCTGGCAAAATACTCTGTGGACTGACAAGACAAAAGTTGAACGTTTGTAAAGTCTGAGCCCCGTTACATCTGGCTTAAATTTAACAGCATCTCAGAAAAGGAACATGATAGCAGCGGTAGGACATGGTGGGGGTGGTGAGATGGTCTGGGGTTGATTTGCTGCCTTGCTGTGGTAAATGGAGCCATGACTTCTGCCATCTACCAAAACATCCTGAAGGAGAATGTCCGGCCATCTGTTCGTGACCTCGAGCTGAAGCTCACTTGGGTTCTGCAGCAGGACAATGATCCAAAACACAGCAGCAAGTCCACCTCTGAATGGCTTTAGAAAGACTAAAGGCTTTGGACTAGTGGAGTGGCCTAGTCAAAGTCATGACCTGAGTCCGATTGAGATGTTGTAGCATGACCCTAAAAAGGCAGTTCATGCTCAAACCCTCCATTGTGGCTCAATTACAACAATTCTCAAAGACAAGTGGGCAAGAATTCCTCCACAGCTGGAAAAGACTCACTGACAGTTATCACAAATGCTTGAAGGCAGATGTTGCTGCTAAGGGTGACCCCACCAGTTATTGGGTTTAAGTGCCAGTCACTTTTTCACACAGGGCCATGTGGATTTGGATTTCCCCCCTTGTGTTTGCTTTTGTTATCCTTGTTTCTGCATAATCCATCATACAAAATGTAATCAAATTAAACTTGTTTTACTAGTTTTA